CTGGGGTTACAGGCCTGTGCCACCATGCCCAGCTACTATGTTATTTCTAATAGAGAAGTCTTTTTTGATACCAGGACCTTAGTGACTGGAGTCACAGTTTGTGAAAGAAACTTTCTTGGAGGGGAGGGCGTTGAGACAGGGTATCGCCGTAGTTCAGGTTGGCCTTGAGCTCATCATGCAGCCCAGGCTGGCCTCAAACTCTCAGCAGTCCTCCTGCCTCAGCCTTCTGAGTGCTGAAATATAGGCATGAAGTACCATGTCCAACTGTAAAAGCAACCTTTTAACATTTACACCATAATTCTGATTGGTTACCTACCTAATAATGTGTGGTCTTGATGCTAATATATAAAGTGACAATTCCATTATCTGAAAGGTATTATGGACATTAATTTAGTTAATCTACAAAGCTATGAGAGTGAAGAATAAAGGAAGGTGTTTTCACCAACTCCTCCACATATGTACCTCTCACATTTTGCTCAGAATACTTTGTTTCTGACATGAGACCATCTGAGTTTTGAATGACCATATGGATTAATATTAGTCCACATATTAAACATTAGTGGTTTAATTCTTAACAGAGGAAAAATGAGAATTTCTCATATTTTTTTCCCACAACCCACCAGCCATCTTGCCTTCATGTACAACCTGCTTTTCAGACAGCTGGCACGCAAGATGAAGATGCCCTTGTGGTGCAGTGGTCTGTGGTTTCTCTAGCATGCCTACTAAGCAAGTAAAAAAAAAAAAGAAGTGGAGAAATGGGTTTTCCCTTAAGCTACATCACTGTGGCAACACTTTTTGAAAACTTTTACCTCCATAGCTTGTTATAAGATATAACATCCACACTGATAATTCTATCTCTCTACTCAAACAAAAATATAAGCTCTAAGTAAAATCCCCCAACAGTAGGAATGGAGTTTGAAATCACACACAGGGTGGCTGATATTTATTTTGACTTGAAGCTCTGTAAACTGTAACAATTCAGAGTTTGGGTCATGATTTTTATTTTTCAGTTAGAGGAAAGGGGCTAGATCTTTGGTGCTATTGGGTCAATAATTAGGCTTAATTGTGTACTAGTTTCAGCCATGTAGCTGGGAGGAGTGTCCATTCTGGGTAGCACACTTTTTGGGTGGCATTATTAGCCAAAAGGAAAATTATGCTGTTACAATTTACTTCATTTTAATGTGAAGATTTGAGTGCAATATTGGATATTCTACTACAATATAGTTCATTATGCTTTTAAAATGTTATCTCATTTTTTACTGAGTACATTCTTTGCAACATTTTGTAAAAAATTCTTTAAAAAGTATCATTACTAATATGATGACCAGTATTTCATTTACTCACATCAGTACACTATTATAATAATTTATTATAGGCCATGATAAACTGTGATAATAATTCATGGTTCTTTTGAACTATATTTGATGTTAAGCTAAGGTTTCCGATGTGGTCTGAATGCAGCAGTGTCTCCAGCCGCACGACTGCTGACAAGCGAATTGCACGGAGGTTTCCACGCGCGTCTCGACTGTCCAGCCCTTCAGTACAATTCGTGTGTCCGCAGTCGTGTGGTAGAGACGCCGCTGTGAGCAATGGTTGCATTGACCGAGGAGCCGGCCTGGAGGAGAGACAGCACTCGCTCCCTGGTTCTGGTTCCCGTAAACACTTTTTTTTTTCTAGCTGTAAGATGCTGCAGAAATTTCGTAGCATAATTATATTAAACTATATATTTGATACAGTGAATAAATCTATGCAAAAATTATCTTAATTTTTCCCTATGTCATTTAAATTTTCTACTATAACATTGTAGATTAATGTATTTTAAAATTTAATAAATAATTGTAAAAAATTATACTCATTTTTCTCTATACATCATTTTGGTTTTCTGTTCAAATGGGTGAACATATTCTGAAGGATGGCCCGAGCGGCACAAACTCTAGCTATTCCCCTAAGCCCTGTGGGAAATCAGGCCAGGTCTGTGTATCAGGCGGGCTAAGAAGGACGTTTTCCTGGGGACTATCCGCTAGGAATACTATTCAGTTTTCAAACAATTTGCTGCCAATGCTCTTTAATCAAGCATACAGACTAGAGCCAGGCGACTCGCCCCACCTAGTGGCACCTCGAAGAAGAGCAGGTAAAGCTAAAAACAAAACAAACCCCCAACTCTCCACACTACAACCCTCTTGGAAAGATGAGCTACTATTTATTTCCCTGAGACTCTAACTGGAAAGTTAGTGCGCGAGAAATCACTGAAAGTGAAGTCCCTAAGGCAGCGATTCTTAGTCACCGGAGACTTTGCTTAAAACCATATGACTTGGTAAGTTTGATATTCAGATCCTTAGGCCCTGTCATAAACAGTCTGGTCTCATAGGGATATACCAGCACTCAGTTAAACAGACTTCTCCAGGTGCGTAAGGTTGTAGCCGAGCCACTTCTCCTACCCGATTAGGAATTCAGCCTGCTGATGCACGTAGCAACAAACCCTCGAGATCAAACGAGGCTTTGACAAGGAAAAAAGATTTAGAAGGGATTACATGGAGACAACCTGGACTAGAACGCCTACCCTTGAAGGAGTTGGGAGTTAGCCAAGACAGAGGGCTGATTCTAACGAAACATTTTTCTTTTGAAATAATGACTTCTATTTTAAAAAATCTTCCTTGGTATGCTATTCCAAAGGTTTATTTAAAAAAATAAATATTTATTTCCACTTCTAAGAGAGTTTGGTCTAAATATTCTAAGTGACTCCTGGCATTATCTTTTCACAATTCTAATTACTTCCCTTCTTATAACCTAAATGTGAGGAAAATCGTTTTAATTGATTCTGTAACTTATTAAAGAAATGAATGTACATGGCTACTACAGAGTGGTAATTGTCCCTCAAAAGCCCAGGTGTGAGAGTTATGGTCCCTAGCCCTTGGTGCCACTGGGAGATAGTGAACATGGTTTTTTTTGGTACCCGGGATCTAACTCGGGACCTTGCACTTTTGAGGCAGGCAGCAAGGAGACAGTGGACTCTTAAGGGGTGGAGCCTACTGGGAAGTCTTCTGGGGCACATGTGGGTTTGTCCTCGCTGCTCGGTATCCCCCCATGCCTGCCTCATTACAGCCTCCAAAACAGCAGGCCAAATAACCAGGACTGAAACATCTACAACCGTGCGCCAAAATAAAACTTTCCTCTATTTAATTAATTGGTCTTGCTATGTAGTTCAGGCTGGTTTTGAACTATGTAATCCAGGCTGGCCTGGAATTGGCAGTGATTCTCCTGCCTCAGCCTCCCAAGTGCAGGGATCACAGGCATGCTCATCTTATTTACTTAGCAGTGCTGGATAACACAAGCACTTAGGAAATAGTCTCTCTACAAGAGGAAGAAAGGCTCAAAGAAGTTTACCGATCTGTCCAGGTTCACAGAGCTAATGTGTGGTTGTAATAGACTGTTTTTGTCCGAGGTTCCTGGCCCAGAGCTCCAGAAACACAAGGTGTTGAGGGATAGGAGATTCTTCCATTACTCATGGTGGCTACCCTTCCACATTTATGCTAATGAAGGGACTTAGGGTGAGGGGACCCCCAAACCCACACCTCAGGATGTGGCTGCTCACCAGAAAGACTGATGTGCTTGGATGACTGGAACTTTCAGGGAAGGAGTCTGGAGATCAAGGTCTATAAAAATGTTTAACTATTTTTTTTGGTACCGGGGATTGAACTCGGGACCTCGAGCTTGCAAAGCAGGCAGCAGAACCACTGAGTTAAACCCCCAGCAAAAATGTTTAACTCTTGAGATTTATTAAGTTGTGAGGTTAACACATAGTGGCCCTGTTGTAAAATATCTGAATTGTTAGAGATGGGACAGTGTTCACTTTGACAAATACTTTTCCAAGCGCATTAGGTAATAGCTGAGCCATATCCACCCGCCCCTCCCCACACCTTGCCTTTTTACATCTCTGTATCTGGCTGTTCCAAAGTTGCATTCTTTATAACAAACTCACAAGCCAAACATTTTCCCCAAGCTCTGTGAGCTCTTCCAGCAAATTTCTGAGCTTAATGAGGAGGTCCCGAGAAGCCCTGAATCATAGCTGTTTGGTCAAAAGTACCAGAGTCTCGACTTGCAACTGGCCTCTGAGATGGGCGCAGTCTTGAGAGCTCTGCACCTTTTTACTACGAGACAGATGCTAAGTCCAAGCAGACCAGGTCGGAATTGAATTGAATTGAACTGAATTGCAGGATACTTACTTCGTATTGGAGTACTTGTTGGTGTGGGAGAAAAAAATCCCACCCACACATCTTGATGAACTTTAGTTTTGTGTTGTGAGAGTAGGAAAACCTGTTTTTTCCTATCTCATAGACAGTAAATTAAAGAGAGGACTTGGACCTAGGTCTGAATTTAAAGTGCATGTTCTTTGTATGTGCTGCTTTCTACTAAAATCTTCATATAATCCCAAAATAGTCAATTATGTTCACCTTTTCTTAAACTAAAACATCTTTGTTCAGAAGAACTGAAAAGGAGGAAGAATATTTTATTCGTTACTTTTCTTTTTGGTGCTAGCAACTGAACCCAGGCTCTGAGTGTGCTACAGAGGTGCTCTACGCTGTGCTATGGCCCCAACCCTCCAGTGACTCTTCCTTGTTTAAACAGCTCTACTCAAATATGTGCGATGCGTAACAGAAAATAAAGAAACTGCGTAATCTGCTACTGACTATATGGTAACACTGCTTGTAGACATTTTATTCACTTTAAAATAAATATTGCACCGTAAAACTATTCAGAACTAAGATCCGTAGTGTACAGTAAGTAGGCATAGTGGACAGCCAGGACAGTGTGCTCTGTGAGAGCAACCCATTCAAAATCAGAGAATCATTACCACTCTACACCAGATACACACTCTGGAGTACACACGCATATGAGGAAGAAAGGAAACAGGTAAAAGCTTGGGGAGAGAAGCAACCTATCATAAATAAGAGCTTCTTTAGACTGACAGTGGTGAAGAAAATTCATATATGAGGCTCTACTTTGTGCCCATTTTCTAGTTTAATGCCTGGCAGAGAGCAGCTGCTATATTGTTGAAAGGATTTTAGGCATTAGAATTTACACACTTTACATGGTCTCTCATTTAAATAAACACCAATTTCTTTGTTATCTTTACTTCATTAGCTAGCTATATATACTGTAATTTACAAATAAATCTATTATTTAAAATCTTTAAGTAAGTACAACAATTCCAACATTCAGAGGGGCTAGACCCATTAATGTGCTTGGATGAGTTTTATTTTGGAGTCACATTATCCAAGCAAAGACAAAACACAATCAGTTCATATGACACACATAAAAAAGAAAAAAGTGAGATAAATGTCTGTCTTAGAAGTTTATCAATAACCTCTTATATACACATATACATTCACAAAGTGGTTGAGAATCTTTTTATACATCCTTAAGATGAGGTCCATGGCTGTGAACTCTTTTTTTTTTTGGTACCAGGGATCAAACTCAGGTCCTTGCGCTTGTGCAGCAGGCAGCGAAACCACTGAGCTAAATCCCTGGGCCGGCTGTGAACTCTTAATGAGACACATGGTCAGAAAGAAATTATCATGACTTTCAATGATCTTTTCTTCCCTTCAACTTTAATATCCTTCAGTTGGGGAGAGAAAGAAGTCCATTTTCATCTGCTGTATCTAAGATTTTACAGATCACTGGAGATTCAACCTAAATAACAACAACAACAACAAAGCTATTAAAGAGTCAATATGCTGAATACTAATTCATTCACTAATTATTCTATTGAATAAATACATTTGCTACATGTATTTGAGTCCTTATTGTGGATTACCCCTCTGCCCTGTTTCATAGTTCATGAACTTAAATTTGTTCTATGATTTTGGAAAAGATGGTCACATTCGTGTTCATGTGGGAAAGATGTCTGTGGCAGTGCCTGTCACATCTCATGCTGAGTTTGCAAACAAAAACAAAAATTCTGCCAGATGCATCTGGTTGCGAACCAAATTGTTTGCAAACAAGTGTTTGTAAACTGAGGCACCACTGAACTAGGGATTGAACTCAGGGACTCTGCAATGAGCTACATCCCCAGCCCTTTTATTTTAAGACAGGGTCTCACTAACTTGCAAGGCTGGGCTCAAACTCAGCCTCCCAGAGTGCTGGGATTATAGGCATGCCCACCATGCATGGCTTGAACACGATTTCTACAAATTGAAAAACAATTTTTAGTTATTCATATTAACTGTGAGAAATGTGGAGAAAATATTTTTATCACTGAGTAATTAAGAGAGAAAACATGGAAAGGACAGGCGTAGGAGGAATACATAGATAGCTCTTATACAGAAAGAAAACAAAACAAAACATATTATGGCAAAATGTTATATTTAAAAGGCAAATAAAATGTGGCTTAAAGATGGCCCAGAAGTTGAAATGATCAGATGATATGACAATTATAGAATATGATGAAGAAAATGGGAGTGGTGACACATGCCAGTAATCCCAGCACTCTGGGAGACTGAGGTAGAAGGATCTCAAATCAAACCCAGCCTGGGTGACTTAGTGAGACCTCATCTTTAAAAAATAAAAAAAGGAGGGCCAGGGATTTAGCTCAGTGGTTCCACTGGCTGCCTTGCAAGTGGAAGGACCCGAGTTTGATCCCTGGTTCCAAAATAAAAAATAAAAAAAGGATTGCTATGAGTTCAGGGCAAGTCTGGGCTACATACTGAGTTCAAGACCAGCCTTAACTACATAGCGAGACCCTGTTTCAGAAGGAAGGAAGGAAGGAAGGAAGGAAAGAAAGGAAGGAGCCAAGATTTTTCTCAAACTCATCAATTACATGAACTACAAATCCAAGAAGCTCAGTGACCTCCTAGTAGGATAAATGCAGGAAAAAAACCCAACACACTCAAACTTAATTAACATAAAAGCAGAACCAAGCCAGGTGTGGTGTGGCACACCTGTAGTCCCAGCACTCAGGAGGAGAACTATGAGTTCCAGGATAGCTTGGGCTACATATTGAGTTCAATGCCAGCCTGAACTCCTTAGCAAGACCCCATCTTAAGAAACCAGGAAAAAAAAAATACAACCACAAAGTTTTTAGAAGAAAATAGAGAAGAATATTGTCATGACTCTGGAGTCACAAAAATTACTTAGGACCCAAGGCCCAAGGATTTAGCTCAGTGGCGCCGTGCCTGCCTTGCAAGCACAAGGTCCTGAGTTCGATCCTCAGTACCAAACAAACAATCAAAAAAAGCACAAAAAAACCTTAGGACCCAATTAGCATTAATCATAAAAGGAAAAAAAGTTGATAAATTGAACTTAACAGTTTTTCTCATTAAAAGACATCTAAAAAATGAATAAGCAAGCCACCAACTATGAAAAAAATGTGCAATACAAATACACAGAACTTATATCCAGAATATTTGAACTCCTAGAAACAAGAAAACAGACAACAACAACAAAAATGGGTCAAAGATTGACAAAGACATTCTCGGACTAAATTTTAGGTTCCCCTGAACCTCTTTCCAACTATGCTTTCATTCTTGAACCCTGTCTTTAGCCTGCCTAATCCACTTACAGCAAGAATTTTGTCAAAACATTATGCCATGCCAAAAAGGCCAGGCACAAAAATTATATGCTCTATAGTTCCACTCAGGTGAAAATCCAAAAGGAAGCACAGCTAATCTCTTGTGGCAGAAATCAGAAAGGGCTCTTTTGGAGTGGTGGTAAGGAGCATTCTTAGAAAGGGCTGAGAGAACTGGCTGCAGTGACAGTTACTTTGTTTTGGGTGACAGTCTCACGGGCATATAGAATTGTTAAAACTCGGCAAACTCAACGCTAAGATCTGTGCATTTGTTGTAAATTACATCTCAATACAACACGTCAGCTATCACAGAAGTGGCAAGGGGGCTATATTAAGACTTAAATACTAATAAAGGTCCTTTCTAGACCTAATGCACCAAGTTAAAACATGGCCCCAAACTGAACTTTTGGGTATTTTTTTACTTACCCCAAGAATATACTGACAGGAGTGAGGCTCTAGCATATACACAGTAACAGCATGAGGAGAGTCTGATTCTTTACACCTAAAAGAAAGGTGATTTAAGGTACTGCTAAATCATATGAATACTATTTTTCATAGTTATCTTTTTTTTTTTTGGAGTACTGGAGATTAAACTCAGGGTCTTGCAAGCACTGGGCAAATGTTCTACCATTAAGCTACAACCTCAGTAATAGTTATATTTGTTTTTTTGAGACAGGGTCTTGCTATATAATTCAGGCTGGCCTTGAACTCACTATGTAGCCCAGCATGGCCTTGAACTCAGGCAATCCTCCTGCCTCAGCCTCCCGAGTGCTGGGATCACAGGTGTGAGCCACCACGCCCAGCCTAGTTATAGTCTTAAATTACAAACATCCCACTAAAATGGATAAATCCAGAATATTTTAATTAAAACAATTTAATTTAATAATTATTCATAATTATATTTCATATTATATACAACTTCTGTCTATAGAAAGCAGATAAATGGGAAGGGCATAAAGCATGATTTGATGGTTTAACTTACTTTAGTTTTACAGTCACTTGTCTTGGTTTGTCAGTTATATCACAAATATCTCCATTCCCATAAAAATGTGAGACCATCCTGAATCAGAGAAACATAAGCTTTAGTGAACTAAGGCCTCACTAATTCTGAATAACTGTAATGTACACCGTGAGAAGATGGTGAGGGTTTTTAGGATTTTGCCACAGAGAGTCTTTCAGACTCTGTAAGGAGACTATAAATTCAAGATCATTTGTATTGTCTTAATACAACATCTTAAACTAGCACATTATTTATATAAAAATAATTCAGGTTAGACTCCTTGAAAAAAACTATTTTTTTTTGAGGCAAGGTCTCACTATGTAGTTCAGGCTGGCCTTAAACTCACTAGGTAGCCAAGGCTGGGCTCAAACTGGCAATTCTCCTACATCAGCCTCCCAAGTGCTGGGATTACAGGTGTGTGCCGCCACCACCACATCTGGCCCTAAAAAAGTTGTTTTAAACTGGGTGTGATGATACATGACTGTAATCCCAGCACTTGGGAACCTGAGGCTGGAGGATGGCTCCAAATTTGAGGTCAGCTTGGGCTACACAGTGAGTTCAAGGCCAGCCTGAAGTACATAGCGAGACCCTGTCTCAAAAAACCAAAAAAGTTATCCATTTTCCTAGCTAAGTCAGCATATTCTTTCTTTTTAACTACCATTAATTTTATTAAAATACTGTGCTGTAGGTGGCACAGAAGGTAGGCCTAGGCCAAGTTATAAATCTCAAAGGACTAGTTAGTACTCTAGTCCATCCTCTTTTGCTTTAATACTTTTTGCACACGATCCATACCCTGTCACATGAGACATCCATGAGCATGTTTAGTGTATCAGAATACTTGAATGTTTATAGAGTAATTTTGCTAACTCAAGACAGCACATACTGAAAACATTCTCTTAATACCATCTGTTCCAGGAAAGACAAAGGGACACCCAAGAAGGCATAAGAGCGAACAATTTAACATACAAAAGGGGCCAGGGATTTAGCTCAGTGGTTCCACCACCTGCCTCGCAAGCCCAAGGATCCGAGTTCGATCCCCCCACCCAAAAAATTCAATGGCCAAGATACACGACACGCTAAAGCTCTAAGTTATTGCTGGGAAATGAGACTTGTTTTCTTCTGTTATAACAAAAGACACTCACATAACCCAAAAGAGATGTGTGGTAGCTTTTCAAAAAGTCATTGTTCAACATTTTCAACCATTACCCTACAAAAGTTAAATAATAAAAGGAACTATTACAGTACACTGAAACAGAATTAAATAATATAAGATAAAGGTTATACATGACAGAGGGAAATGCTTTATGGAACTAAGCCCACTGTGAACACCACTGCCACTCTCATTAGCATACCATCATCGCTGCTGAAGGCAGCAGCCCAAGTTTACTGCATGCTAGGCAATGGCCTTTAAATGAATACCTCACAATAACCTTAGGTGCAATCCAAAGATCATTAAACAAGAAAAGGGAGGCTTAAAATGACTCTGTAACTGTCTGAGGTATTAAGTGATGGGCCACCTAGCATTTGAATTGAGAGACAGTGCTCTTAACAATCATACTGTGTTATTTCCTCTCCAAAAGAAAATTGATTTAAATGTACCTCAAAACAAACAAACAAACAAACAACTAACTCTGACCTGGGATTTTACTTATGTGTTTAAATGTTTATGTGTATCAATGTTCTGAGCTTTAAAAATTCTACTCTCACATCCAAAGGCAAATAAAGTTGGTCTTTACCTGACTGTCTGGGTCCCATCGTCTTGAAGATGATAGGCTCTGGCAGTGTTCTTCTTTGCCCACTCAATATGCTCTTCTTGATTCCAAGTCCCCACAACTACAGAAGTTTTCCCACTGTCCTTGTCCTAATAGAAGACAAACAGATGGCTGAGCCTCTTCTAAGCCCTAGTCCTCATTTTTATTTGCACACCTGACATCTACCTTTAAATGTAATGATATTAGTCAAACTCAGTGAGTGAAATCTATCCTTTTTATTTGTTATTTCTCTGAATAATGTAACTAATCTCTAGTCAGGCTAGCTCTAGATATAGTTATTTTTGACTCACATCTTTTTCCTCTCCCATAGTAGTCACTCCAATTCTTCCTCTACATTTTCACTGCCAGCACACCCCCTCTACACCAACGCAAAGTTCAATCTCTCATACCTAGACTGTAAATCACATACTACTGTGGTGTGTGTGTGCTGGGGACTGAACCCATGGCCCTGTGTATACGAGGCAAGTATTCTACCACTGAGCCACAACCCCAGGCCCAGTACTGTGATTCTTAATTAAATCTCTGTGGTTGTTTAAATGCGTGCTAGAACCCTAACCCTCAGTAAATGGTGACAGGAGGCAGGATGCACCAGGAGGCATTTAGGTATAGAGCTGCATCTTTTGAATCGATTAATGGTGAGTATAAAACACTGAAAACTTTGGATTTTATCGTTCAGTCTCTCACCTTCTTGCTTTCTGAGGTAGAATGAAGCAGGAAGCAGGTCCTTGCCAGATGCTGGCAACTGGACTTTCTAGCCTAAAGAACTGTGAAAAATAAATCTCTTTTCATTATAAATTACCTGGTCTTTTCCAGGTGGTTTGCAGGTTCAAGGCTAGCCTGAGCTACATAGACAGACGTCACCAAAAATAAAAACAAAAATCACCCAGGCCATGGTACTGTTAGAGCAACACAAAGCAGACTAAGAATCTTATCCTGCAGCCCATTTTCATCCTACTTCTACTGTTTCCAGTGTAAACCTTCAAGTTACACTGGTCTTCTTCTATTTTTTCTTCTTTTTAAAAATACTGGTCTTCTTAACACTCATTTGACTGTTTATTTCTGTGTCAAAATTATCTGTCCAGAAATCCCCTTCCCCATTCTGTCATTATTATTATTATTTTGGTACCGGGGATTGAACTTGGGTCCTTGTGCTTGCCTAGCAAGCAGTGAAACCACTGGGCTAAATCCCCGGCCCTCTGTCATTATTTAAAAGAACAATTCTATGTACTACCTTATATATGGAGTTCCTTCCTTCCTTTGCCTTTGTACCTTCTCACTTCCCTTTTCTTTCTTCCTTCCTTTATATTTTATGCCAGGCTATCATGCTGGAAATAGTATATAGGTCTTCTGTTTTATTTTTTTGCAGTACTAGGGATTGAATCCGGGGCATTGCTTATGCTAGGCAAGCACTCTACCACTGAGCTACCTACATCCCGGGCACTTTTTATTTTGAGATAGGGCCTGGCTAAGTTGCCCAGATGGCTCTGAGCTCAAGATCCTCCTGCTTAAGGCTGTGGAGTAGGGGTTACAGGTGTGCTCCATCAGGAAATAATATACTTCTAGTTAGTACAATTAAAAATCCAGGCCACTTCTCTAGTAGAATTTACTGATTAATGGGAAGACATAGCCTTTACACAATTGCTTCAGTAACTGGACTGCAAGTTCCTAGACAGGGGGCAGCAAACTGAGTGTTTAAGAGGCTGGCTAGGGAGCAGGACTGCCTTGGTTTGAATTCTAAGTTTATCATTTACTACTTATGTGATTTCTGGCAAGTTACTCTATCTTTGTTTCTGTTTCTTCATCTAGGAATAACAATTCTAATTACCACTTTTTTTTTTTTCCGGGTACTGGGGATGTAACTTGGGACCTTATAAGGCAGGCGGCAACACTACTGAGCTAAATCCCCGGCCCTCCAATTACCTCTTAAGGTTGTTTTTGAGGATGAAACTAGTATCTACATGTAAAGAACTCAGTACTTGGCATATAGTGAGCAATGTATTTGTTATTACTATTTATTCTTTTTTGTGGTGCTAGGCCTCACACATACTAGACAAGTGCTTTTCTATCAAGCTACATCTCCAGCCCAGTTGCTATTATTTTTAAAAAAATTTATTCATTTGTTTTTTACTAGAGATTGAATTCTTGGTCTTTGCAGTATGTATGCCCCAACTCTAAAAAAAAACATGTATTTTTAAAATTTTGAGACAGAGTTAAGTTGCTCATGTTGGGTTCAAGCTTGCAATCCTCCTATCCCAGCCTCCTAGAGCGCTAGGATTACAAGTATGTGCCACGATACCTAGCTCCAGTTACTATTTTTTGTTGTTGTTGTTTTTTGAGACACAGTCCTGCCATGAAGTTCAGGGTGGTCTTGAACTCACTATATAGCCTAGGGTGGCCTTGAACTCATGGAGATCCTCCTGCCTCAGCCTCCCAAGTGCTGGGATTATAGGTGTCCTCCACCACATCTGGACAGCCTCTATTATTTTTCTATCTCCCAAAAAACCTAGCAGAGTCTCTCAGAAAGTTCTATGTCAGATGACCTTGGACAAATTAAGATTAAACCTCCTGTTGTTAATTATAAAGGAAAACAGTCACTGTAATTACTAGCCCCCTGGAAGGGAATTTTTCAGTATGCACGTTCCTTGACTTGGCATATACAGTGCTACAAGTGTGTTGTATGGACATACTGGCAAAAGGGTAGCAATACAAATATTTTAAAAAGGTCACTAAAATATTACCTTAGCAAAAACTGAAAACAATTTAAAGGTTCATCCATAATGGCCTGGTTAAATACACTATAGGCACTAGGGCACAGTAACACATGCCTGTATCCCCTGCACTCTGGAAACTGAGGAAGGAAGATTGCAAGTTCAAGCCCAGCCTGGGAATTTAGTAGTTTAATAAGACCCTGTCTCAAAATAAAAAATAAAAAGGGGTTGAGAATGAGCTCAGAACAAAGGCCATTGGTTCAATTCCTAGTACTGGGGAAAAAAATGTACATTTTAGGTACAGACATAATTCTATTAGTGCTGAAAAGGATGTGATAGGTTGTTGCTGACATGGAAAGATCTCCAAAACACTAACTGAAAAGAACAAGTGCAGAGCAGTGCTTGTCCCCTTCTACAGAAATTGAAGGTGATACCAACATTAAAGTCTATCAATATTTTTCTTAGTTAACCATGTTAGTATATGTGCTGCTGAAGTGCGCACACTTAGTTAACTATGTTAACAGCAGTTATTCTGGGAAAGGGGGATGATGGCACAGAAAAAACTAATTTTTATTTTAAAATTCTGGCATATATTCATTCAATTAAAAAGTCACTGGGCATTATCTGGACTACAGTTAGTACTTTATCCTTTTTCTGTCTGTATCAGTAAATGCTATTTAAAAAACTGCAAAGCAGCAAAAATAAATAGAAAATATGCTTAAATGAAACTTCTCAGGTTTAAGTGAGGAAGAAAATGCTTAGTGACACCTCATATAAGGTGAATTGATCTGTCCTACCATGATTTCACTTGGAATTTAAGATCAGCTCAAAACATCTTGTATGGGCCAACTATAGTACTTTCTAATCACTTGTTATTTTTTTTAGGGAATGAAGAGTCTTTTGAAGCAGCCAGGCCAGTATTTATTGATTAAAGTTTGTCTTCAATGTTTAGTAGTTTAACTTACTAAGCAAAATACACTTATAACAAATTTTTGGAACTTGAACTTTAAAATTTAAGCAGATTGAATCAATGTGGGAGAATATATTGACTTATAAAATCAAAATGAAAGACTAAAAAGCTTATAACATAATCTTAAAACTTTTCTGAAATGCTACCTCTTTTAGCTGTGAAACTTGCTACATTTACCCAAATTTACTAATTGTATTGCTACATTTACCCAAATTTACTAATTGTATTGTTAATACATCATCTTAGCATTATTTTCTTTTCTCTTCTTTTTTTTTTTTTTTTGGTACCGGGGATCGAACTCAGGTCCTTGTGCTTGCGAGGCAGGCGGCGAAACCACTGAGCTAAATCCCTGGCCCCTTAACATTATTTTCTTAATGTAAAGATGAATTATAAGAATGACTAATTTCCTAATCAAGGATAAAGAGGAATAGACACAAAAGCTTATGACTCTACCAGGTTCACAGTCACAGAAAAACATGCCACTAACAGCAGTGTCACTTTGAGATGACTGACTGTAGTTAATATCAGATCTTCTGGTTTCTCATACTTCCATATTAAAATCATCTTATATTTAAAAGTGATGTCAATTCCGCTCCTTTTTTTCCACAAAAGATTTAAAAAACTTAATCCAGAACTGGGGATGTAGCTTAGTGGTAGAGTGTTTGCCTAGCATGTTCAAGGCCTTGGGTTCTATTCACTGCACCACAAAAACAAAACAAAACAAGAATTTATAATCCACACAGTGACAGAATGATAACATGTTATTCTATACCTCATGGTACTGATATACATGTTTGCCATAGCAGAATTCATATTTCCACCAACCAACACCCTAAAAGAAAGAAAATATGATAGATCAAGTTATATACAGAGAAAAAGAAAATTTAGGCTTAATTTAATATTGCCACATGACATGACGGAAATATATGTACATATTTTTATGAGCTGCAATAGTACCACTATGCTTGAAAATTAAATCACTGAGAAACTTAAAAAGAGAAAATATAAAGAATGCTGCACTACTTTGTTTTTTGTGTGTTTTTTTTTGGTACTGGGGATTGAATTCGGGATACACTACTTTGATAAAATAAATAAGACAAAAAAAATTCTACTTGTAAGTTGTACTTCCCACTGATGCTATAATGTAGAGGCTAATTGTACCTTTGTGAAGGAAGATGTTAACTTGAATTTGAGCTGTGATTGCTACATAACCAAACTGTAGGTCATATAATCATTGATGCCCATTTCAGCAATTAACCAGAATTACACATCACTGCCATAGGAAAGGTCAAGTTTCACCTTGTATATAAAGAGGACACAATGGCTACAGATTATAAAGATGCAGCCGTATAAGAGTGCAGAGAGAAAATGTCAACTGGGACAGAATCCCACCATTTCTCAACAGACACAAATCTTCTGCAGTGCTGCTAATACCCACTGATTAAATAACTGATAAGTTATTTAAGTTCTAAGATAAATATTTAAACTGAAGGTTCACTTCTCACCCCATGAAAGCAGTAAGAGCCACTGAGGAATTCTTTTATAAGCTGGTCATCTGTGAGTTTGGATATGTGAGTTGTTCCAACAGTGAGCACTGGCTGAGAGCCAACAGCAATAGGTTTGTGGACTGCTGGAAACCTTTCTTCTTTAGTTGGCTGCAGATCTTCCTAAAATCAAGAAGACATATATATTTAAGGGTGTTATGCTACACTTAATTATTTTTGTTGTGGCTTAAATTATTTTTAAAGTGTACAAAATTTGAAAAATACTTTTTCCATTTTAAAAAATGTATTTTAAGAAAACAAATTTTGCTAAAGAGCAAAATAAAAGATCGGCAATAGGAAACAGGGAGAAGGGGACCAAAAGATGGAGGGAGAGGGCAGGGGATTTAGCTCAGTGGTTCTGCCGCCTGCCTCACAAGTAGAAGGACCTGAGTTCGATCCTCGGTAGCAAAAAAAAAAAAGCAAAAGATTGAGATGGAGGGGAAGGGAAATGAAAAAATTATTATGTACATGTACCAACTCCCCATGTAATCACGTACTGCAAACATGTAACAAAAATAACAAAAGAAAATGGCCTTGGCAAAATAATAGAATATGCCAGGGATGGTGACGCACGCCTACAGCCCCAGCACTCAAGAGGTTGAGGCAGGAGAATTGCTGAGAGTTCGTCAGCCTGGGCTACATAGTGATTCAAGGCAGCCTGAACTGCACAGTGAGACCCTGTCTCCAAAAAAAAAAAAAAAAAGTATAGTGAAAGCTCCAGACAAATGTTAAGGTATGCTGACTAGCCTGAATATATAGAAATCATTTCCATTTCACATATTTTATTTCATTGTTCTTATTATGCTTGTTAGGCTTTATGTCTCTGCACCTAGCTTTTTGTTTTTGGTACCAGGGATGGAACTCGGGTCCTTGCGCTTGTGCAGCTGGTGGCGAAACCACTGAGCTAAATCCCCAGCCCCTCTGCACTTAGCTTTGAGAAGTGGTCATTAAGGGTGAAGAAAGGGTAACAAGAATGGTAGAGAGGAGCTGGACGAGAATGAATAAGAATATTAGAACAATTATTCAAATGCAGAACATGGCTGCTGCTCTAGAGGAACCTGCAATTTAGTAGGGGTGGTACAGGGAATCCCCTCAAACTGGTAAGAGTGCAGGGAAAAGCAGACTCACAGAGAAAGGAATGGTTCAAACAGATTCCAACCAAAAATTAAAATATGAAGACTTCACAAAGAGAAAACCCTTGATCACATCTTGAAACATGAACAATAATTTGTGATTTATTATATATCTGTGTATGTGTATGTATATGGTAACTTACAGAGGAGGCAAGAGCAAAGATGTGGGGCTGTGATATTTAAAACTAAGGAGATGGGCAGGCATTACATGGCAGGAAACTATAGCTAAGAGTTGTGCACATTATCTTACCGGTATATAGGTATTACTTAAAGGCATGTTGTGGTCTTATTGTTTTTTGGTGCAGGGGACTGAACCCAGGGCCTCATGTCTTAGCATGTACTCTACTACTCAGTTATACCCCACTGCCATGTGATCATAGTTTTCAGTAATTACTTTAGCAGTGGCAGGAGAAAAAGAAACTGCAGATACAAATCTGGAATTAGGAAGTCAAGTTAGCAGTTTCAGGTCAGAAAGGAGAGAATCTTATGTAAAGGAGTAAATGCGATGGGGTGGCAAGACAAGGATAATTAAGTAAAAAGGTTAATAAGTTAGGATCTGGTGCTAAATAGGTATTGACAGTGAAGACTAGGTGAAGAGGAAATAAATCTAAATCAGTACTGTTATGGTCTAGATCTAGAACACTCTCAAAAACTGACATGTGCTCAAACTGGGTGTGGTGGCACATGCCTATAATCCCAGCACTCCGGAGGCTGAGGAGGGAGGATTCGCAGGAGTTTGAGGCCAGTCTGGGCTGCATAGTGAGTTTAAGGCCACCCTGAAGTACACAGTAAGACCCTGTTCCAATAAACAAAAACAAACAAACAAAAATAAGAGTTAAATCTTGGAAATAGCCCAAATGCCCATCAACTGATGAATGGATAAAGAAGATGTGGTTTTTTTATACAATAGAGTACTAGTCTACCATAAAGAAGGATAAGCTTGAGACATTTCTAGCTAAATGGATGCATCTTGAGAGAGATAAATTGGACACACATGTTTAAATACCGAATTATTTTTCTGGTGTGGGAAACCAAAAGTGGAAATAAGGACCAAAATGTATAATAGATATTGGGAGATGGGAAGAAAATGTTCAAATGAGAGAGGAAAAAAGGAGGGGGAGGGGAAAAAGAAAGAAGGGACAAGAAGAAACAGAAGGAAAAAATGGAAACAGCTTTTGTAAATAAAGAGGGGAAGAGGGGTTGAAGGGAGGGGAAAGGAATAGGAAAAAAGAAGCAAGATACATCATGTACAGTACAAATTCCCTATGACGAATGTTATCATTATGTATAGCTAAAATGTACCAATAAATGTTTGCTTCAAAACAAATAAAAAAACTCTTGTGTGCCTAAAGGGGGGGTTTTGGAGGGTTTGGTCAGAAGATTTGAATCACTGGACAAGTGACCTGGAAGGGTTTATCTTTCTCCTTGGCTCCTCCCTTCTCTTTCTGCTTCCTGGCTATCATGGCTTGAGCAGCCCAGCAGCTTTCCTCCACAGGAGGCCCTTCCATCCTGGCCTTGTGGCCTTGGAGCCAGCTGATTATAGGCTGAAATCTTTAAAAACCACAAGTCCAAATAAACCTTTCCTCCTTTAAATTGTGGGTGTTGGGTAATGTGTCTCAGTGATGAGACAGAGAGGCTCCTAAGAAATGTACAGTGGACATTATGTCTTCTTTTTCTGTACTGTAGTTGACACTAACCAATTGTGGTTCTTTTGCATCTATTTCTGCTTGTCACTGATGATTACTCTCCTAGAAACCAAAGGCCTTACCCTCTCTCTTAATATTATGAAGAAAAAGGATTGCATGATGGTGTCTTCTGTGTTTTAGAAAGGATCTTTATTGTATAATTTTATCCACATTCAGAGCCTAACGACTAAAGTAACTCCTAACTAAATAATATTTCCCGGCACTACTTTAAGTGTTGAGTATGAAAAGTGAAGCAGACACAGTCACAACTCCTAAGGGGCCAAGGTCTGAGAGACTATCTTAAAAACAGAGTACAACAGGCCTTCATTAAAGCTAATGGAGAAAGATAATTAACACTACATAAAAAAGCCTGTAGCCGAGGTGAGGAGAAGAGATAGCAAGAATGAAAGGAGGAGCCTTTATTGCTTCTTCTGGGCAAAACATCTAAATTACTCTAATAAAAACATATACAATATGGTAAAAGTAGAGTTTGAAAATTCACAAGATGAATTAATAGTTCATTAATCTTTAAATCAGTGTGATGCAATCACACAAGGAGACATCAAATCAAAGTTCTAATAACCAGATCTGTACTGTTATTATCATTACCATTTCTATCACTAGCATCACTGGGGAATGGACCCAGTGCTTTTGCACTGAGCTACATACATCCCCAGTCCTTTTCTATTTTGAGCCAGTATCTCACTAAGTTGCCCAGACTGGGCTCAAGCTTGTAATCTTGCTGCCTCAGCCTCCAAGAATGATGAGATTATAGGTATGCACTTCCAAGCCTGGTTTAGATTTGTATTTTTGTTAAAAAAGAATAAGAAAAAATTCCTTATTTGTACAATAAAACTTGATCCACATTTAAGAGGGAAACTGTATGCCAAACACACATTTTCAAGAGAAAAGTTATGTGTAATAAATTTATTCTGATCAGGATTTTTTTTTTTGGTGGTACTGGGGCTTGAATCCAAGGCCCTGAGTATGCTAGGCAAGTACTCTACCACTGGGGTTCATTCCTAGTCCTTTGTTGAATTATATTTTGAGACACAGTCTCACTAAATTGGCTAGGCTGTTCTCCAACTCGTGATCCACCTGAGTAGTTGGGATTACAGGTGTGGACCATCCCGGCCAACTCTGATCAGTTTTAAGTGACCATTCATTTGATAGTTATCACATAAAATTTTCATATGGAACATGTGTCCTGAAGATTCTGAATATTTTGAAGATACTATCATTTGTAGCTTTTGAAAAATTCATTTATCTCAACTGACAGATTAGGAAAAGAGGGGAGCAGTATGCAGAAGTTCTTAAAGGATAACAATGAATTGAAGAATAAATAAAATGTGAGGAGGAGATAGAGTTGTAGTCTATTTTTTCAAGAGGCTCAGGTGTGGCAACTGCCTAAAAAACTTAATGACAATGCACAGGATGTCAAACTTTACATTATTATCAAATATTAGTATAAGAGAATGTTAATGTTAAAATGTTTCTGAAAAGTAAAAGAATAAGGAAAGAATTTAATTCAATGAAAAGAACTTGGATTTAAAATTTTGAGCCAATGAAAATAAACTGCTACTACTATACTACAGAAATCATTATGCTATTCTCTGAAATTTAGAAAATGAAGCACTGAGAAACTATCATTAGATAATTCTCATACCTCTTTATTTCTTCTAAAAGGTACCCTTAGTATTTCCTCTTGCTGCTCCAACTGTCTCAAAGTGAGGGGTTTAAATGGAGATCCTGGCAGTGACTGGCAAAATATGTCATTCACAGGAGATGCTCTGAACCTAATTCAGTAAAAAGAAAGAATTAAAGCTAAGCAAAGAATACTGTAAAGCCTGCGTGAATTGTATGTTTAAAATATTAAATACACATCCTACCTATATTTGGGATGATTACACAAGAGTGGTGTCAAAATGACAACTTCATATTCACAAGTTGTAACTTCAGCTACTGAAAGAATTTCATGCTTAGATTCAGGATGACATATGTACATCACAGTACTTGATCTGGGCCGGTTCTGTTTCAAACTACAAGGTGTACCATTTCCCATTCCCACAGGATAGTAGGGTGTCATCTGACCTTCAATATTTTTAGTGGGAATCTTTAAAGAGAGAGTATAACACTTTTCATTAGAAATTGAGGAGGGGTTGAGAATGGGAGAAGCATTTATTATTCTGAAAGAAAAAAAACTACATTTTATTTATAAACAGAAAGGTAACATTTCTGTATTTTAAATTCACCCTCTAATGTTGACTCATAAGTTATTTGAGCATATGACTCTAAAATTAAGACATTAAGTCAATATACATTTATATAAAGGGCTACAAGATTAAGTTTTTTTTGTTTTTGTTTTTGCAGAGATAGGGATTGAACCTAGGGCCTTGCACATACTAGGCAAGTGTTCTACCACTAAGCTACATCCCCAGCCCCAAGATCAGGTTAATATGAGTTATTCTCAGTAGTTCTAGAGAAAGAGATTAAGATAAAGTATAAGAACTTGCTATACTAGGTTGCTTGAAGCTTTCTTCATAAACAGTGAATGACTACTTAGGAGTCTAGAGTCTATAAGACTAATGGTTGATTTGTCAAAAATTATGGCTAGATAGTAAAACATTACTGTATAAAATAGAATACACTATTGGTACATATAGCTGTTTACTCTTTTTTCCCTGTTATCGACAGCACATACATTTTAGCATATAAACTATGTAAATCTATTCAAGTCTACCAAATGACAAATTAAGACGTTTTCATGGAATGGGGGAGTAAAGGATATACTTGAGAAGCCAAATATTATTGAGTTAGCTTCCGTATTTTTTCCTACATAAACATAAAAAAAAAATCTAATGTAGGAGCTTTAAGATACCATTAACAGCATCTCCAAGAAAGCTGTGCAGAGGCAGGGATCTCATCTTGCATCACCCTGGCACCCTGCCAATGCCATCTCCAAAACAGGCCGTAAGGAAATGTTTCATGAGAAAACTGAGTTTCCTTGTTTGCTATTTTTGGGGTATTACCTGAAATTAAGAGAATCCTAGGTTCAAAGCTTTGAATTTGCTGGCTTTATGACCTTAAGTAAATTTCAGTTTGTCATTTATAAAAGTAGTATAATAAATATTAAAAGACTGTTGGGAGAGTTATACTTCAGCTTTTGTGAAATGCCTGGGACTGTTTGGCTTATAAGTTGGGGCTCAATTAATGTTAGCCGTCTGCCCTTACCCCTTTCTTTCTCTTCATTTATTATTTTACACTTTGAGTTCCAATTTGCTACCCTCCAGAGTCACAGTAAATAAACAGTTTATTTTAAAGGTCAGAATCATTTTTTTTTTTTTTTCAGTACTGGTGACTGAACCCAGGGCCTTTGCAATGAGCTAAATCTTAAGCCCCTTTTTAATTTTCTACTTTGGGACAGGGTTTCACTAAGTCACTAAGTTGCCCGGGTGAGGCTCTAACTTGTGATCCTCCTGCCTCAGCCTCCCAGAGTGCTGGGCTACAGGCAACCATGCTGACTATGTTAAAATCAATTCCCCTCAAAATATTCTTGTTAAGATACAAGCATCTCTATTAAGAAACTTTCAAGGCCTTTGCTATTAACTTTATTTCTAATAAAAGTATCACTATGATACTAAGCCCTTTATAGAAATAGCCACTATTGGTCTATGGCCATACCACCCTGAATGTGCCCGATCTTGTCTGATCTCAGAAGCTAAGCAGGGTCGGGCCTGGTTAGTACTTGGATGGGAGAAACAACCTCTACTGGCCTCATATTGTAGTGCATGCCTATAATTCCAGCACTCAGGAGGCTGAGGCTGAGGAACTGTTATGAGTTCAAGGATAGCCTGGGCTCCACTGTGAGTTTTAGTCCAGCCTGAACTACACAGTGCAACCCTCTCAAAAAACAACAACAAAAACAAAAAAACAACAAAAAACTTGGGATTAAAAAAAGTTCTTCTGGAGCTGGGTGTAGTGGTGCACACCTGTTATCCCAGCACTTAGGAGGCTGAAGCAAGAAGATTGCCTGGAGGTTGAGGCCAGCCCGGGCTACATAGTGAGTTCAGGGCCAGCCTGAACTACAAAGAGAGAGAGACCCTGCCTCAAAAAACCAAAAAACCAAAAAAAAAAAAAAAAAAGCTCTCCTGTAACTATGTGGGTATTTAAACACTGAACAGAAACTTTGAGGGATCATTCTTTTTAAACAATTCTATTATTTAAGCCTTCATTTATCCATTCACTTAATAAACATTAATGAAGTGCCTATAATATGTCTGGCAGTCTCCTTTGCAATGTGGATTGAAGAGATAAAAGACAGTTCCTGGTTTTAAGATGCTTGGAATCTGGTTATTTACAATTGTAGTTTATCTGTTTCACTCACGGGAGATTGAGACGAAACAGGAAGAAAAAAATGTAAAAGCTCTTAGTATAATTGTTTCTAATACTGCTAAGCACTAAAGTAACAAAATGGTAGTACAGAATCTCTCCCACATATGATAGATCTGTTTACTTAGCTATTTACTTTTAAAAAAAAGGAAATAGAAGGATCACAATGTAACTCAGAAAAGCTAAATACACTGTAAATTTTTGACCTAATCCTTTCAAACAGTGGATAGTTAAAGAAAGGCTATATTTTTTCAATTAAATTGTATAAATTAATGCCTCACTAAAAATAAGTGTTAAGAGCAAAAAACTAGCATTTATAACTTGCCTCATTTGATTTTTCTTTTTCTTCCGCTTCTAGTTCTGTGGAACAATGTAAGAGAAATGTAAGTGGAAAGGGCAGTGACATATCTAAGATACAAGTGACTAAATTCTCAATCAACTTAGTAACCTTAAACTTCTTTTAAAAGATCCAAATATACACATGATTTTTGTCTTTTTTGGGGAGGGGCTGGTGCTGTGGTTCAAAACCAGGGCTTTGTGCATGCTGGGTGAGTGCTCTACAACTGAGCTACACCTCCAGCCCTATCCTACTACTTTTAGTTTCCTCGGAATGGGTTTTTTATGATGGTCACATTTAATCTTACATTTTTACCTATAAAATACTCTATTTCATGAAAATATTTTTATCTCAGTGGAAAGCTAAATCTTAAATTAACTGGCCAATCTGAGTAGTATAGGTTAAATATAAATATTTTACCATTTGTGGGATATATCTATTTCCATATACAAAAACTGTTTAAACCAAGTAAAAGATTAACATTATATAAATGTAACACTAACATGCATATCCTAATGGATTTTAAAAATTTTATTAATGAGCATAAGAAAAGTATGAAAGTCTGTGAAAGCCAAAAATAATGAAAACAATGGCTTCTTCAAAAAAGTTTTCTGAAGTTTATAAAATTATTTTAGTGTTTTCAAATTCAGTTTCTCTGAAAATCTCCTAAACTTCAATTTGAACACAAATACTAAACCAAATTCCAGTATTACTATCAAATCACTGTGTAAAGACCAACCTTTTTCAGATAGAAGGTTCTTAGCCAACATATTCCCAAGGTAGTACTCATGAATATTTATTTTCTATATTAAGAAAAAATACAGTAAGTATTTTGCAAATATATTTTTAAGGATACAATTTTAAACTATCAATTTCATTAGGAAACTTCTCATTTTATGTTTTTACACTTTATATTTTGAACATACCTGACCAGTTTCTTTCTCTTCATGGTACTGCCGGATATGTTTTCCATGACATACTTCATAAGTCCAATAAGACTCAATCTAAGAAAGATGAATGTGTTTAAATATATAAGAACCATTTAACTCAAATGAAATACTTTTTGATATTTTAAGTAGTTGAGTAGATTTTCTTCAACATTTACAGTAACCTTTTATTAACTGACACTCGTAATTATGTCTCAAAGAAATGTTAAAAAAAAATTTTTTTTGAGACAGGGTCTTGTTATGCAGTTCAGGCTGGCCTCAAACTTGCAGGCATCCTCCTGCCTCAATCTCCTAAGTACTGGGATTACAGGCATGTGCCACAATGCTCGGCATCAAAAATGTGAAATTTCTGAGGTCGTTATTATTATTATTTTTTTATGCAAATATCTATATAATTAGCCATTTTCTCTAGGAATATTCCAAACCCTAAAACTCAGGAAGCCCAGTGTATGACTAGGAGCCTCCTGCATTTGAGGGGTATTAAGCACCAACTGCTTGAAGGAAAGACTTAAGATGTATCCTAGCCATGAAAAAAGGATAAAAACAAGAAACGCATGTTTAACGCTCCACTTGTTTTAACATTCAGGACCTTGAATAGCAAAGGTAGAGAAAGACCACATTACTCCATGACTTTGTCAAGGAAAGTGAATCTGGGTGAAAAATATTATTTGGAAAGTATCTGTTATCCCAACAACATGGAAACCAAAGGAATTTTAGTCTCAACTATAGCCAAAGAGGAATGGTAATTATCAAAGCCGCTCACACACTGTGAAATCCCAGCCTGGTCCTTCTGTGTCAGTTGCGGCCTGCATGAATTGATCAGCATGTCCTCATTATTTCATTAACATGCTATATGAGTATTATGTTAAAAAAAAAAAAAGGTCCAGAATATATCTGAGAATCTACTAACTACCTGGCTTAGGGATAATATTCTCCATAGCTTAAAAAAGAATAATCAATAATTTTAATGGAAATTGTGTTAGGTGAGGAAACTTTCTTTTGAGCTGAAGCATTCACAGTAATTTGGTAACTGATGATTTAAATTTTCTTTATTTGAGATAAGGTCTCACTATGTGGACCAGGCAGGCCTAACTCGTAGTCTTCTTGCCTCAGCTTTCAGGATGCTGGGATTACAAGCATGTACCACCATAGCCGGACGAAAGTGACAATTTGATATCATTATTATTTATTGAGTGTATGCTGCATATACTATATAAGAATTTAAATGAACAAAATACTATTCAGCAATAATTTAGATTTGCACCTAACTTAAAAAAATAATATCATAAGGTAAAAAGAAATGCCTAAGTAATTTCAAGGGTCAACTCCTGCTGAAAATTTATTTTCTAATTATCAAATGAACAAAAAATACATACTCTGTAAGAACAACTGCTTTGTTTAAACAGCGGTTCCAAAAGCTCTCTTGGATTAGGGCCTTTATAATCTTTTTCTTCTTCCTAAGAAAGAACTGGAGTTAAAACACAATTTTTCTAGAACTTCACCCAACTCTGCTGTTTGAATATTAACTCACTGGTTAAATCACAAGTGCTTGGAAACAAAAAAGGAAAAAGTAAAAATCCTATGGTATGCCACTTCTTTCAAATGAATTAAAGTATAAAATATGGAGTTATAGGATAATATTCTACAATATTCTTCCTTTTTTTTTTACTTATGCTTTTTCATTCTTGTTTTGTTTTTTGAGACAAGGTCTTGCTATGTATTCCAGGCTGGCCTAGAACTCGTAGTGATCTTCTTCCTTCAGCCTCCCACGTGCTGGGCCTACAGCTGTGCACCGCCATGCCTGATTCTTTCCTATTTTTATTTTTAATTTTTTGGCTTTTTGAGACAAGGTCTCATTTAATGGAAGTTCCAGGCTGGCCTTGAACTTACTGTGTAGCTCAAGCTGGTCTAGAACTCATAGCCATCCTCTTGCCTCAGCCTCATGAGTGCTGGGATTACAGGTGTGCACTGGCAAGCCCAGCCTCTTTCTTTTTAAAAAAAAGGTTTCTAAGCATCAGACTTCTGAACAAATTTTACAAACCTATTTCATAATTATTAAATGCTTCTATCCAAACAAATTCTAGCTACAAAAGTCTCAGAATGGTTGAAACTTGCAAAGTTTTAAGGTACTTTCAGTTTCCTATATATTTTTTACACTTCAGACTTGAATGCCAAATGTATGTGTAAGGTTCTTTGTGTGTGTATCTGTGTCTCAGGAGATTTAAAAGAAAATGAAACAGATGTCTCAGATTTCAAATCCAAACAAACAACAAAAAAAATTTTTTTGGGTCTGGGAATCGAACTCAGGACCTTGCGCTTGAGAGGCAGGTGGCAGCACCACTGAGCTAAATCCCTGGTCCAAATCAGAACAAAATTTAAGCACTGAGTTTAACTGTCTGTTTTAGACGTCATAAAACTATAATATAATTGGCTAAATAGATTTACTGAGTGTAGGAATGGAATTTCAAATCTGTTCAAGGTCCTAGAGCTAATTCCAGCCTACCCCTAAGCCTCCTGGCTCCTAGGCTGTTGTCCTTTCCATTTACCATACTGTCCACCCCTCCTGCTTCATCTTCACAGAAGTTGCTACCTTGAAGGATGGATAAGAGGCAGTAGGGCATTTCAGGACAAAGAAAAGGGCAGGAGCTAAGGTAGCGAGAAAACATAAAGTACTTATAAACTTATTTATGAGAAACTCTTTATGAAAATGGCATACATGCATCTAAAACATATCTTAAGCTCTCATTTTTTTCTTTTCTTTTTTTTTGGGTACCGAGGATCAAACTCAGGACCTCGCACTTGGGAGGCAGGCGTGGCGCCACTGAGTCAAATCCCCGGCCCTCTTAAGCTGTTATTTCTGCAAAAGAAAATAAGTATTTTCATTCAAAACAGTAACTTTGATAATTTTTCCAAAATTAATGGCAAAGAATTTAGGAATAATAAAAATGATTAATATTTTTATGCTAAAACAGGGTGAGAATTTAGTTCTAATATTTCAAATAAATAATTTTGATAACAAGGTCTCTTATTAAAAACTGACCTCATCTCCACTTGTCACAAGGGGAAGTATACATTTATATTTTTCTTTGTCTGGAGTTGTCATGATGACATAGTTATCTTCTTTATATAAAACTCCAGTTGTGGGCTAGAAATAGAACAAAAAATATACATTACTTTCTTCAGTTAAAGTACATTGAATAAGTTCAATCCTAGTTAGAGCAAAGGTTCCTCAAATTAATTTATCATTTCAACAGGTTTTTAAGACATATTTTCAAAGGCAGGGAAAATAGTTACAGATTTCTATACAACAAAATAAACCTTTATCCTGATGCCACAATAGAAAAAAAATATACAAAATAGTTTGGAGTAAAAAGTAGTAATACAATAGGCTAATGTTAAAATACTGAATAAAAAGCAATGAAATACTGGTTAAGAGTTAATGAAACTTCTTTATGGAGGAGTGCTCCTGGAGATTGAATCCAGAGCCTGGTGCGTGTATGCTCTACTTCTGAGCTACATTCCTGTCTCTTTTTTATTTTTTATTTTGAGACAAGGTCTCACTAAATTGGCTTCAAACTTGGGATCCTCCTGCCTAAGCCTCTTGCGTAGCTGGGATTACAGGAATGTACCATGGCACCCTGTTGAATCTTTGCCTTCTGATATATATTCTATGACAAAAAATTCTCTTTACACTACTGTGAAACCACTGTACTCTTTGGCTATTCCCAGCAAGATTTACTTCTTATTAAATAATCTGTTCTTTTCTCAATTTAATAACAACCCTTAAATATGTATAATAAAACATTACTACTTGGAACCAATGTAATTTTTTTTTTTTTGGTACTGGGGATTGAACTCAGGACCTTGCACTCGTGGGGCAGGTGTGGTGCCACTGAGCTAAATCCCTGGCCAAGAACCAATGTAATCTTTTTTTGTTTGTTTGCTTTTTTTTTGGTACTGGGGATCGATTACCTCGCACTTGTTAGGCAGGTGGCAGAACCACTGAGCTAAATTCCGGCCCTGAACCAATGTAATCTTAAACACAAATGCAAATTAGGGTAATGTTTTCCCAAGACACACACATACACACACACACACACACACACACAGGTAATAAGTATGAACTCTGTCAGTACAGCAGTTGATTGCTATCCAAGGGGACTGGCTCCAGGTCCCCTGAATATAAAAATCTGCAGATCCTCAAAGTTCCTTATATAAAACACATATAACTTAGAGACTTTCCTTTATACTTAAAATCAAAGCTAGATAACTTATAATACTCAATACAAAGTAAATGTAAGAAAATACTTGTTAAGATGCTTTGTTTAGGGAATGGAAAGAAACAAAAAGAGCTTGTACTTGTTCAGTACAGATCCAATTCTTTTCCCCCTGAATATTTTTATCTGAGTCAGTTGAATCCACATATGCAGATCCTTGGATGTGCAAGGCTGTTTTAAGTAATTTATATTTATTGACTCATGAACTTTCTTTTTTTTTGGTACAGGGATTGAACTTGGGACCTCACGCTTGCACGGCAGGCGCTGGAACCACTGAACTATATCCCGGGCCTGTGAACTTTCAAAACAAACATTATACTCATTTTCATAGAAAAGGACACTAAGTGGGACCGGGGATGTAGCTCAGTAACACCATGCCTGCTTGGCAAGCACAAGGTCCTGAGTTTGATCCCCAGTACAAAAAAAAAAAAAAAAAAAAAAAAGGACACAGTCTACATAGAGCTTAAATGATTTTTCTAAGGTAACACAGATAGAAGTAGCAGAACCCAGCAAACCTAGGCAGACTGGCTTCATACTATGTCAAATTTTAACATATTTTAATCAGTTCTTTTGGTACCGAGGATCAAACTCAGGTCCTTACGCTTGTGAGGCAGGCGGAGGAACCACTGAGCTAAATCCCTGGCGCGTCATCAGTTTTTATTAACATTTTCCTTAGATTTCTACAAATGTCTAATTTTTGGCCAAGCATCCTTATTTAAAAGACTTATGTAGTTCAGTGGTAACGTTTGTCTAGCAAGCACAAGGCCCAGTACTGCAACAAAACACAAAAAGCCATTATAAGTGATAAGAGAATTAGAGATTTGAGATAGTTGCAAAGTCAAATTTATGATAAAGGAATCCTTAGAAACATCCATTCAGCTGGGCTAACAATTTTTTGTAAGACAAAACAGTGATAACTCCTTTCAGTGTTTCTCAGAGATATTTAGAACATACGATAGTGACTTGTGCAAAGCATGACTCATTCTTTTTTAAATGGAACTAGCAATTGAATCCATGGGCTTGGAGAATGCTAGACAAGCATTATACTATTGAGTAATAGCCCCAGACTTTTTAATTCTGAGAAAAGATCTTGTTAAGTTGTGCAGGCTTTTCTTGACTTTCTTCTGCCTCAGTCTCCTGATAGCTGGGTGTATGGTACTATACCTGGCAAATCAGTTGTTTTGAAACAGGGTGTTGCTATGTACTTTGTAGCCCAGGCTGGTCTCAAACTCTCGCAATCCTCTTGCCTCAGTCTGAGTGCTGGGATCACAGGCATGCCCTACCACGCCCGCCTGGGCAAATCATTTTTATACTGTAGTGAAGACAGTAGCAAAAGACTTAAAAAGTTTACATGTCTATTTGTGAATTACCTGCAACACTGATGTTCACAGTTGAACCCTACAGCAAATACTGACTTATTGACTGAAATGTTCAACACATGCTAATAATGGAAAAAGGAACAGCTTGTTTGGAACCACAGAAAGAAAAGGAAGACAATTCTTTTTTTTTCTTCCGGGACTGGGGATTGAACTCAGGACCTTGCACTTGCCAGGTAGGTGCTGCACTGCTGAGCTACATCCCCAGCCTGGAAGATAATTTTTTTTTTTTTTTTTTTGGGTACCAGGGATCGAACTCTGGTCCTTGTGCTTGCACAGCAGGCAGCGAAACCACTGAGCTAAATCCCCAGCCCTGGAAGACAATTCTTGATGCAAAGTCTCCCACTAATTTGTGAAGAGCTACTTTCCTCTGCACTAAAATAGGCCAAATAGCAATTCTGCCCCCAAATTGGTTTTTTTTTTTGGTACCAGGGATTGAACTCAGGTCCTTGTGCTTTCGAGGCAGGTGGTGGGAACCACTGAGCTAAATCCC